ACGTCCTGACGTATCCGCTGGTTGGTGGGCAGCCTCACATTGACTACAAGAGTCCAGGAAATTGGAACTAAGGACTGTTTTACATTATTGATTAATCAACAAAACAGCCGGTTCATTTTCTGTTGATTGACTAGTCCATTCATCAGTGAATTGTTTCAGCTCTATAAGTTATAGTGTGTTCAAAATGAAAAATTACTAACAAGTATATATAATGACATATTATATCACTGAATGAAGAATGATTAGGGATCAAATATCCAACCATATCAAGATTACAAAAAGAAAGGTTTGTAAGACTTTAATTTACATGTGTACAAAGACTCCTTGTCAGGATCTCAGAAGTGATTTACAATCAAGGGAAAGTGCACAAATATTTCAGGAAGAAGTATTCAACTCTATGATGTCTGTATGGATGAGACAACCAAAACCTGACAAACGGGCTTTACCTTCTGAGACAAAACAAACCCCTCACCTCAGTCCTGTTGCGGGACATGGTCACGCTGTTGGTACCTTGTATGACAATTGTCTACAGTTACAGCAACCTACGCAACATTGACAGAACGCCACACATTCACATGTAATGAACAACAACATCCATGCAAACACAGTGTGTGACTATATAAGGAGTCAGGACGTGTTAATAAGAAGAAACAACAACAACAATAACAACAACAACCACATCACAGAGGAGCATGACGGAGCAAAAACACAGTCAGGGAAGCTTCAGTGACTTCCTTCCCATCAGACAGCAACAACAAAGCATCACCACCCCGTCAACTTCTTCTTCGCTTTTTTTATTTTTATAATGGCATGAATCATATGATATAATTTAGGGGGGGGGGGGGGGGGTTGTTGTTTTGTTTTTTTTTCAAGGGAGAGGCGGGGCTGTTTGGCGTGGCCCTGAATTTCCTGCACTGATCAAGGGTTGACATTTTCATTTAATACCAACAACCTTCATCAATAATGCTGAAGTTGTCTCTCTCCTAACACACTCGCTCATTCTTTCTCCTTCTGCAGCCTGCCTGGGTTAAAAATAGCTCTCCCCTCTCTCTTTCTCTGCTTCTCCGTTTACATAAGCACACAGAGGGGGGAGGGGAGCACTTCCGGTCTGGCCACCCAGCCCAGCATCTGATCCATAACACTGGGGCTGCTGGGTGTGGGGGAGAGAGGAGAGAGGGAAAGAGAGGAGAGGTCCCGCAATGCAGGGAAGCCCTCTATTTCTCTATTTCAGTCTCTCTCTTTTTCAATGTCTTTCCGCTAGCTTGCAACTCTCTTTGCCCACAATCACATTTCTTACAAGAAAGGTTTGCCATGATCATCTTATCGAGAGCCTCCACTGTGACGCCACATCCCTGCAAAAAGAAAACCAGTACCGCACACACAAGCAGCAAAACACCTGCATGCAGTTTAAGCGACAAGGACACACATAAAGTCAATGGTGTAAAGTAACTAAGTACATTTACTCAAATGGTGTGCTTAATTGCAACTTGATTTACTTGTTTATGTGAGTATTTCTACTTTCTGCTACTTTATACTACAATTCCTCTACATTTTTAGAGGGAAACTTTCTATTTGACAGCTGTTATCACTAGTTAGTTTTCAGTTAAGGATTTTACATTACAAAACATACAATAAGCGTATAAAATGCAATATACTGTTACAGATTAAACCAGTGGTTCCTAATCTTTTCGGCTTGTGACCTCTTACAAACAAGTAGTGTGGAGCTTCATGTGTCTATCAGCTGTTAGATTGTGGTTTCATTTAAAATTCTTGAGGTAAAACTCTCCAATATTTCACAAATAAGAAAATACTACAGGAAAGTCCAAAATGAATCATCTCACGACCGCCCAGATTTATCTTGTAACCCTTTAGGGGGGCCTGACCCCTAGGCTGGGAACAACTGGACTAAACATCCTAACTAGCTCCAATGCAACCAGTTAAATATTACTTACAAAATGATAGATCAGTATTACGATTTCATAATGTAAGAACATGTCCTTTCTGCAGAGTAAGTACTGTAAGTACTTTTGATACTTAAAGTACATTGGTTAATATTTATGTACTTTCACTGCAATAGGAGCTTAAATTCAGGACTTTTACTTGTAATAAGATACTTTACAAGGAGAAAAAACAGCTACCTCACACACGCATGTCGATGTACCAGCACATACGCACGCACACGTACACATGCGAGAGAGTCTGCAACCATCAGCCCTCTAAGAGCTCTGGCTTCATGTGACCACTGCATGCCTTGTAACAGAGGCAGGCCTGACTAAGATCAAAAGGCAGATTTAAAAAATACCAGAAAAGAAAGAAAGAAAGAGTTTGGAACAGAGGAGGTAGAGTCAAGCTGAGGGAGGTTCGGGAAACTGAAGATTTTCGGAAGAAAATAATATGTCTCAGCATTCGTGACATATAACTTTAAAGAGTCAGCGGTTCTAGGACGCATTATCCGTCTCTGTCACCAACTACAGACATACACACAAACCACCAGGTCAGTGTCTTAGTTGTTTGGCTAATCATAACGCAACCTAATAGAAACGTCTACTTTTTTGCCAACACATAATATTGCAACTTTGCAATTTCTCAGTACATAGCAGTCAGCAATGAAGCGCCACGGAATCTTAAAGGATAAATCTGGTGACAATCAATCTATCTTTTCAATAAATTCCATGAAATCCAACAATGGATAGATCCTACAATGACGTATGGCCTGTTAGCCAAAGCCTGATTTGGCTTACTCTGTGCCATAGACCTCCATTGTTGTCCAACAAGAAGAGTCTACAGTCTTGCTAGCGGCTCTGTGACACTGTTCCTGGGCACAGGGGCGCTTTTAACTAAATGCTAACATCAGCATGCTCACAATGACAATGCTTACTGATGTTTAGCAAGTTCAATGTTTACCATCTTAGTTTAGCGTGTAAGTATGCTAACATTTGCTAATTAGCACTAAACACAAAGTGCAGCTATTATTACTATTCAACCTGAGGGGACTTGAACCTGTGTACCAAATGTCAAAGCCATGCTGCCATTAAAAAACATCAATGAGCATGGACATTGAAATTTATTCTTAGATAACCCGACATCGCTGTCCTAAAGACAGTCCTCAAATGTAATATCTACTCCTGTTGCTAAAAACAACAGTGCCCAGGTGTTTCAACAAAAGTGTTTTTAAAAAGTTTTATTTTATCTTTCATGACCTGTTTTTAGATCAAGATTAAGATTTAAAGGAGGTGGTATTATGCTCATTTTCAGGTTCGAAATCTTAATTAGGGGTTGTACCACAACAGGTTTACATGGTTTAATTTTGAAAAAACACCATATTTTTCTCATACTGCACATTGCTGCAGCTCCTCTTTTCACCCTGTGTGTTGTACGCTCCGCTCTTGAGCTACAGAGTGATGCATCTGACTTGTACAAAATCTTTGTTGGGAGTTGCACATGCGCAGGTAAGGACTACTAGCCAATCAGAAGCAGAGAAGGGCCGGTCGTAAGAAACAAGGTAGTGTGATCCAAATCAAAGCCACTTCAGACTGAGACCATAACCTAGCAGATGGTAACTAGCAGAAGTTCCTCACAAGTCCACAACCACACAACATCATTGTTCCACATCTTACCATTAGGACTAAATGTTGAACTGTCGGTGTTCTGACGATCCATGCTGCCTTGCCGAAAAATGCTACCATAGCGCAAATCAATAGACTTGTCTCTACTAGGCTCTGCTCCATTTTCCATTGCAGATAGTACCCAGAGATAGTACGTAGCTTGTTGTCATAGCGACGCCACACACAACTGCTGCGACATAATGTTCAATGTGACACACACACCAGCGATCCAGTGGGAGCAGAGAGCTCTGTGCGCGGGTTGGCACAGGCATCCCCCGCAACCACTTGCGGAGCTCCTCAACCCCAAAAATATTCAAGCACATTTATGTTCCACCATCACTTCTAGTAAAACTGTCAATATTCGAAATCTACACAGCTGATTTCTCACCTCAAAACTTCTCAGAAGTGGATTTAGTGATGAAATTCCATACGAAAACTGTAAAATATAAAACTTTCTGTTGCTGGCCTCCGTCTGGCGCACACAATGATGATGCAGTGAATAGTGACGATTCTCTCGGACCAATCAGCAGTCTGTCGTGTTTTCACGTTACATTTTAGTATCCCTCAGCTCGCTTGGAACCTCAACGAAGGTGAGGTGATACGAAAAAAAGTACCTGGAAGCAGATACAGGTACAACATTTCTACAATGGAAAACCAAACAAAGGCGAGTCGAGCCAAAGGGCCTCCGCTCAGACTAACTTGGTTTGAATGCGTGCCTGACCCCGCTAGCCGCTTGGCAAGCTTTATGACGCGTTTTCATTGTGACGTCACAAGTAAAGGAAAAGATATATAACTCAAAGGAGAGGGAAAAAGCCAAAAAGTATAATACCACCTCTTTAAAGTACGTTTCCAGAAGGAATGTGTGGGCTTGTGGCTTAGCCACAAACAGGGTAGAGAAGTCTGAAAGTATTGAGACAGACTAAAAGATTGTTGGTTTTCATCTTTTCAAGGGATCTGTTGACAATAAGAAAAATCTAAAACATCACCAGCCTTATCCTTCAAAAAATAACTCAACTTTTATTACTAATTCTGATACTATATCATAAAACTAAACTAGAAACAGATTACAATGAGGTAAATTCACATACTACCTACCATCAATATGGACTAATTAGATCTAACACACTGTCATTGTAGGTAGCACAGTCTTCATTGTCACATCATGAACCTTGACACCTTTTACTCACACATGTGGTTACATGGCAAAACACCCAGACACACAACCCACAGTGTTCAAGCTGAATGACCTTTTGTGAGCATATATGAGTGAACTAAAGAGTCACAGACAGAAAAAGGAAGCATGTTTTTATGTCTGAAAATGAAATTTATGTATGCTTAATTACAGATGTATGTATAGAGGGGGGATCAAAAGAAAATAATAAAAAAAAGACTTACTACTGTGCACAGTCGATGAGTTGATATTCGTTGGACCTTTCCCAGCAGGCCCGCACACCCTCATCCTGCCAGAGGATCTTTGCATGGTCATAAAACTCCTGGAAAGAGAAAGAGGGGTCTGGATCAACGACATACTACAACTAGAAATAACTGCAAGTCAGGCTCTTATTTCAGGGCAAAGGATCCCTGAAATAAAGATATAATAGAAAAAGAGCTAAAGGAAAAGTGTGTGTCTGTGTGTAAAACAAGAATCTTTATAAGAAATGGCAGCTGAGGGTCCAAAAATGACATCCTAAAAACCAGTTTCATTTTCTATAGGACAGGAGCAAACGGGATTCAAGGCGAAGCAGGATTGACCAGCGATGCAAAAAATAGAGGTCAAAAGTTGAAAAATTCCAGGATCAATCAGCTACCGCTAGGTCTGAAAAGTGAAGCCAATGCGGAAGTACCTTAAACATGCATTATTTCTAATGGCCAGCAGGGGCCAACTCCACTGGTTGCAAAAAGAATTCTGATTGTATAATTTTGACCATACTTCTCACTTGATTCATTACTACTTTTCATTAGAATGGTCTTAATCACTAGATTTAAGTCTTCAATATAGCAAGATGTTTATTTTCAAAATTGTGGTCCCATTTAGAGGAAAATAAATGATTAAGCTGGCTATGCTTCAAGGCGTGGCTACCTTGTGATTGACAAGTGGCTACAACAGCGACCTGTCAGGGGCATCAATGAGTAGGCTATCCCTCCACAGCTCCACCCTCTCGTCCAAATGGTCACTTCTGCTTCCAAAAAGCCAAGATGGCAATGGCCAATTTGCCAAACCTGAGGCTTCAAAACGGTAGTCCACAACGTAGTGTTTTACCGAAAAATGATTAAAAAAAAACAATGCAGTGGAGGTCGAGTAAGTTTAATCTTTACCTCTTGTGGATACATGGAGAAGAAAAGTTCATTATTATTCATTATAGTTTGCTAATGACCAAGCTACCCACTAGCTTGTGGGCACTGACACACCCAAAGTGGTAAGTTAGAAGAGGCAAATCATCCAGATTAGTCAATCAACAGAAAATGAATCAGAAACTGTTTTGATAATGTAATAATAATTTTAGCAAAAATTACAAACATTTCCTGGTTCAAGCTTCTGAAATGTAAAGATTTATGCTTTTATTTATCTTGCATGACAGTAAACTCAATATCTTTGGCTTTTACTGTTGGGCTGTGGGAACTTTTAACTGGCATTTTATAGACAAAGTGACTACACAAGAAAACAATCAGATTAATTTATAATGAAAACAATCATTAGTTGCAGCCCTTAAAAGAACAGAAAAAAGAAATGGTGTTTAAAATGTTGTGCAGACATAAACTGTACTCATTGCAGCACACAACAAATGATTGACTATACACATCGGTGGATGGTGTAAAAGAAAAAGTTGGCTGGTTGGTATCTTTGGATGGTCCTGTGTCCCTGGCTTAATCTCGATGGGTGAAAACGTTTAAGGACAGATGGAGGGAGGCAGCGATACTCCTTGGCTTAGTTTGTAGTTTAAGGCCAGCTCGGAGAGGAGCAACAGATGAGCGGGCCCTGACAGAGGCAGGAAACAGAGCAGTTCACTGAGTTCGTGAAGAAATGGAGAGCTTTGTACTGACACAAGGCTTGGCTGTCTCTACACAGGGGCCTATCTCTTCACTGCAATCTTCAGTTGATCACATACAATGCAGTCAAGCACAAATAAGCCATTATGAGCCATAGAGTTATACTGTATACCCTTAGAAATACATAATTCAACTGAGAGTAAGCAGGCTTTGCAGTGACCACTATGTTACTAATGGATATTTAGAAATCTGGGATGGAGGAGGTAGATACATGGGACAAGGTGACACTTGAGGTTTAAAACCAGCTGTGTTGTTTGTCACACCGGACTGTGTTGTTTTTCTCCCTAAAATACAGAATTGTCAAACATGAGTAATTGCTGATTACCGCTGCTTAATTTGTCATTGACTTTTTTTCGTGAAAATCTACTGAAATTGTTTAGTCAATTATCAAAATAGTTTGCGATCAATTTAATACTTGACAACTATCTGTTAATTGTTGCAGCACCAGAGTTGACCTTTTAGCTCTGTTGCCTTTTTCTGTTCTTGCCTTTTTCACTTGAGAGTCAGATTCTAGCTAAAACTAGGAGGCCTCAGAGTACCAATCACAAAAATTTTCCAGGGTAATTTACAGACTCATAAAAGAACCAGACTAAAATACGAGTAAGTATTAAAAGGAAAAAACACCAGTTATAATTACAGGTAGGTCGGTCACTAACAATTGTTTTTATTAGCAATCAATCAGTTTTTTTCCTGACTAACCAATTCGTCATTTAGTATAAAACATGTCAGAAATTAGTGAAAAATGCCCATCAGAGTTTCATAAGGCCCAAGGTGACGTCTTCAAACAGCTTTCTTTGCACGACGAACAGTCTGCAATCCCAAGGTATTCAGGTTAAAGCTCCATAACACAAAGATAGGCAGCAAATCAACACAATTGAGAAGCTGGAAGCAATGTTTGCCCTTTTTGTTAAACAATCGATTAGCAAAATTGTTGCCGATTCATTTTTTATCTTTAGACTAATTGAGTATTCGGTTTGTTGTTTTAGCTGACTGTTTTGTTGATTAATCCATTGACAGAATAATTTATTAATACACTATTAAAATGTATTAATCAATTAAGTGATTTAGCAAACAGAAATACAAAAATGTTGCTGCTTCCAGCCTCTCAAATATAAGAATGTTCTGCTTTTCTTTATCTAATATCATAATAAATTGGTTATCTTTAAGTTTTTGGACTGTTGATCCGACAGCAATTTGCAGACATCATCTAGGACTCTGCGCCATCGTTTCAAGATTTTCTAAAATAAAATGATGGATTAATCAAAGAACAATCATTTCAGATTATTAGATAATGAAAACAATTGCTGGTTGAAGCTTATGTTGCTAGTTATATTTAACAGTAGCTTTTTTAAATAATAACATTGCAATGAAAAAAAAATTGTTTCATGTATAAAAGCTACTATAACTGATCAGTTCATGAACACAGGAGATGACCCTAAAAGAACAAATAAAAATACTTCTGTGAGGCAACAAAGACTCTCAATGAGCTTTGAATTTTAATTTGAGAAGGTAAACGTTTCAGCTTTAAAAAGTGAAACAATAATTCGACTTCCAGATTCACCACCCGCAGTAATAAATGACCAGTAGGTAGAAGATTTTGAGGAGCAGAGGACAACAAGGTCAACCTTCCATCTGTTTCTCTTTGTAACCTCTTCAATTTAAGAAGAAGTGTTTTCCCATCATAAAGTTTATTCATGGCTACATATAAAATTCAGACAGTTTGAAAGCGATTTCACAATGCCTCTTGCAGCGGTTGTGCAGCTCTGTGAAGAGTTTAAGAATAGGAACGGCTGTGACCTGAGTATAGACCTACTTTAAGATCCTGTGTGAAAACAGACAGTGCTCTTAAGACATGCTGCGGGACTATATGATTTACTTTCAATTAAACTGCGTTTATAAAATTAGATTGTGGAAAAGTCTTTCTGAGCAATCTACCAGGTGACATACCATACCAGTGGAATGATATCACTTATATTATATGTAGGGCTGGAGATATTAACATTTTTTAATATTCTAAAAAATCTTCTGAGATTTCAAATATTTTTGGGCAAATCTCACTCTTTTCAACTCTTTTAGACCTAGGAAATGCATTTAAAGATTTCCTGCATAGAATATGCTGCAGTATGAAGTGGGTTCGGAGAGTCTCTATGTTTATACAACATTAACTTCATGTCTGCCCGCCTCGAAGAGAGATTCCTCCTTTGTTGTTGTCGCTTTTTTTCCCTGTTAAAGGGTTTTCCGTAGAATTTCTTCATATCCAGAGGTTGTTTTATGTTATAAGCCCTGCAAGGCAAATTTGTGATTTTGATATATTTACAGTAAATAATACTGACTTGACTAACTTGACTACAATGACGAGGCACAGTACTGTACATCGCTGGGAGCAAGGAGGCTCGGGACAGGTGGGCATGGCAGCAATCATTCTGTAAGAAATTAAAAAGCCCAAGTAAATAACCTCGAGGACAATTCTTTATCTTGCATAAAGGTGTGGTCCATTTTATTATTAACATTTTAGGAGAAACTATATTGTTGTGAATGACAACAAACGCCAAGGATCATTGATTAGAAATGCAGCTTGAAAGGAAATCAAGACAATACTACAGTGATTCAATCCAGGCCCTGTGCTTATTTTCTGTGTCTGTTCCTCCTCTGCTAAAAGCAGAGTCAACCAGTCCGACAGGTTTCCAGTAGGCCCTAAGGCCAGCCGAGGGGGTAGGGGCTGAGGAGGCGGTAGAGGAGTTGAAGCAGAGGCTAATCAGATAGTTTTCTACTGTATTCTCTTTCCTAAACTAAACCACCAATTCACGGGCAGTATCGCTTAAGACAAAGCCAAGCCTTTAGCTTATGGGAACTGATGCTTCATTAAACAATGCTTTAGGTAACCAGATATCATTGCGCTGAAATCACTATTTAAAATAACAGCGGTACATCGACGTCTCTGAAAGCATTAACACCACGTGTATGCTCTCACTCACTACACCCCACATAAAAAAAAAAGACAAAAACTCAGTATCAGATCAAAGTGCTCGTCTTTCTCTCCATCGCCTAAGTCCAAGTCTAGTGACTGACTGATAGCCTGAGGAAGGGTCAGCTTGAGACAGGCCTGAGTAATAAATTTGCCATGAAGTAACAGAGGCAATGTCGGAGACTTTCTATTGCTTACACACAAATACACACACTCTTCACTGGAAACTCTATTGGAAGCTATCGTGCTGGAACAAAACAGGGAAGACACAGTGTTCTTCCTCCTTCACGCATAACCTCTCCCGTGTTACAAAACAGTTGAAATACTAATTGAATACTAACAATTGAATAATGTGACAATTTTTTGTTTACTTTCTAATTTGGTAGTTTTCACAGTTTGACAGCATCACATCTATTCTCTAAACATTTGTTCCAGTGATGGATTAAAGCTACATATCACTATTTAAATTAGTAAAACATTTAAATCGTCAAACATTTCTTTTGGACAGTCAAATCAAATAAAAACATTCAAATGTACTTTGCATGATTTTATACAGTTCCCAATTTTATCACACAGTAAATCACACGGTATATTTAAAAACACTTTATCTTAACTGGAATTTAAATGAAATCAATAGTTTGATTGGGTGCTTGTTTGCATGGCATGAGTTTATAACAGGCCTGACAATGGCTATATGAGCCGTGACAGATTAAAATATTCAGCATTAAATTTGATTTTGCAGTAAATCAAAAGCATGACCTTTTACTGATATACTGAAAATTACATTTTATTTTTTGAAAAACAGAGCTGCAACTAATGATTATTTTCAAATTTTCTCAATTCATTGGTTCATCACTTGTCTACAAAATATAAGAAAATAGTGAGAAAAAAAAAGGATAACAGTGTTTTGTTTGACCTGCAGTCCAAAACCCCACAAATATTCCATTTGATATTTGATATGAAAACAGAGAAAAGCAGCTAATCCTCACGTTTAAGAAGCTGGAACCACAGAATTTTTAGCGTTATTGCTTAAAAGTGACTTAAATGATTAATAGATTTTTAAAAATTGTCACAGATTATTTTTACTGGCAATCGACTGATCAATTCTTCAACCGATCGTTTCATTTCAATCAAAAGGTTTCATCATAAATGCAACAGTTATTCTCTAGATTTTTATGGCTCGCATTACATGTACACAGGACAGCACAGTGCAAAAAGCCTCGGTCATGGTCTTACTAACATTTTCGACAAGCGGACCAGTGGACTCGCATGACATGCAACTAAGGGAACGAGTGTCCTTCAGAAGTACAGCTTCATTTTTGTTGTGTGAGCACATTCAAAGACAACGAAACCCAGATTTTTATGGTTGTTCTATACTCACTGAAGTATTCTGCACCTTCTTGAGTAGTGATTCACATACATTTTACTTTTTGATGGAAACTTTGAAAGATTAAGTCAGAATCCAAAGTCGAAACAACACGTAAAATTATTCCATATTCTGTAGAATATGGCCCCTAGTCCCTGCAATGTAAAGTAGGATGAACGTTAACATGCTGTCAGACTAGCAGTCTAAAACACGATAAACTGATCTGTAACATCAGTTTTAAACACAAAAAACTGATCCAGATGCTGGCAGTAAATAAACAGATTGCTGGTCCAGCAGCGGGACCTGCAGCGAGTCTCTGACAGGCCACCAGGAGCAGACTGCAACTCAGGTGGGACTCAGAAGTCTCTGTGTTTCTGGAGGACAGGTCCCTCTAGACACATTTAGGGTTATTACAGACAATCAGTGTTAATAGGCAGTGTGGATCTCTCAGGTGAGCGGGCTTATTCAATTGACAGCCTCCCAAGCGAAAGCACACCTGCTAATTACTGAATCACTTTGCACACTAGGCTGCCGTGTGAGGGGCCGTACTCACATTTAATAGCAGTTAAAATGAGACAAATTTTGCAACAAAATAGATAAAGAATATCTATAAACACTACATGTGTAAAAAAAGGATAGTTGCATTATCAGCTTGTTATCTTGCAAAGAAAATAGTCCACAGAAAAACCAGGCTGAGATAAGGATTTGCAAATGTTTGAAGTTTTGAAAACAGAATAAGGTTTTGGGCTGCAACTAATCAGCGAGTATTTTCGAGTAAATTGTGAAAAATGCATTTAACAATTTCCCAATTCAGTTTATTATCATATATACAATACAATATACAATATTCACATTTAAGAAGGTGGAGGCAGAGAAATTTAGGCATTTCAACTAGAGCTACGACTATGGCCTACTGCAATTTTCAAATCGCAAGAGGTCCAATATTTATTAAAGGTGATTTGTGTGTCAAAATACCATTTTAAATGAAATACTGTCGCGCTGCAGAGATGTCCTGGCCTACACATTATATTCTACAGATTTAAGAAAACATTTTTGTTTGGCACAGATCCTCGCAAAAAAAAATAAATAAATAAATAAAGAGAATAAGGATGAGAAAGAATAAGGATGTAAAAATTATAGTTCCCCCTAGTATCGCAAATCATACCGTAATAGTCAAAATAATTGCAATTAGATATTTTTTCAAAATTGTTCAGCCCTAATTTCGACTACTATACTAATCAACTCCAGTCAAGTTAAATGAAAAAAAAGTTCCTGAGGCACCCGTGGTAACACTGGCATACAGCACAGCTGACACTGTCATTACGCCTTTTGATTTTTTGAACTCGTGCAGAAGTCAGAGCGTCAACAGAACCCAAATAAGTGAGATTCAACTTACCGAAGGAAACTCAAAATCCTTCTGGTTTACTTGGTGCAGGACGTACTCGATTCGGCATTGGTTTGCAGGACAGGCTAACTGGCATGGCGGTGTGAGCGTGGTCATGGCAGACACAATCGTCTGGATGGAGAGAACAGAAGAAGAAAACATAATGCAATCATTAATTAAAAATGACCTATGTGCTCAGATATTTCATAGATAACTGATTTTGCCACTACCACTACACAAATACAGGCAAACAGCCTGCATTGTGGCTTTTGCCTTGTCAAAATATGACATTCTCGATGCTCTCAATACAGTTGCAACAGTGCGACAAACTGTTAAAAATCCCACAGTTCACACTCAAAGTGGATGAAACGAGGAATTTCTTACCTCTATAGCTTCTTTAATGTTGTTTTTAATATCGTGAATTTTCTGTTTTTTCTCCCTGTGAAGAACAAGAAAGGGTTCATCTTATTTATTTTTTTATTAGAACAAAAACATAAATTATATGACGCACACAATATAAACTTGCGTCATGACGGTTAACAGTGAGTACAGTCCATCGCTTTTCTTAAATGCTAAAACAAAACTTGATTATTTTCGAAACCATGGGGAACTTGGAATCCATTTTGGCTAAACTAGACGGAAATATATCAGCTGTACATCCAAATATGGTAAATACTATACCATAGTTGAACGGGCAAACATTATTTTTTATCCAAAATATAAGAAGGAACAGCTGGAAAAAACAAAAAATTGTTTTGTTTCTTTTGTGTTAGTGGCATGAGGTTTTGCAAGGAATATGCTGTGTAACATAAACCTCTTCGCCAGCCTGGAGGTAAATTATATCAGACATCAGTATTATGGCAGCTCCAGATGCATTGATACCTTTATTTTGCTGACCAAGCGCAACTCCTGATTTTATTTGTACTTGCTGATACCAAATGACATTAATCAAAACTGCACAGTGGGTGGGTGAGGTTGTGGAAGACAACACAGACTGTTACTGTACATATAAAAGGTGTCTTTAAAGTTCAGTTTTACCTAACAACCTCCGATGAGCACAAAGTAGAATCTAAAGTATCAACAAATATAATGATATTCTCCATATTTAGTCCATTTATTGTTGTAAAGACAAACAGAATTTCAGCATCACCATACAGCACGGCGCTCAGGTTGTGCAATCTGCAGCCTTCACTGATAACAGTAGTAAAAAGGTCTAACGTCACGCAGGTCTTTCAGAAACCAGAGCTGCCAGTGTTAGGTGTCAAATTCTTTTAAATGTCCTGACAAAAGAAACGTTTGACAAATGAACAAACCATAGAGCTGCTTACACAATCAGGTACCAGCAAGGTGTGATTTCTTCTGAATGACCCAAGTCAAAATATCTTAGTATATCAGAGCAACTGTAAGCATTAGCTTAAATGTGTGGGGTACGTTTGAGTGCACGGTGCAGCATATTCAGTCGACATTACAGCAGCAGGGGGTCCCATCAAGACCACCAAATCATTTTTTGGCAATGAATGTGTTCTGTTTAAAGTGACGTCGCTGCATCACTGCACGCTGCTGTAATCAAAACTTAACCAAGGCGAAAGTGCAAGTGCAAATTTCCTAGGGACAATTCTCTGTGCGTTAGTGAACATTTTTCATTTGTATTATCTGGTAATATCTCAGTATTTATAACCTCGTACCTATAGATCTGAAATGATTTGGTGATTAATCTTTTAGTAGACTGACAGAAAATTAAACAGTTTTTGTCATTTTTAAAGCAAAAATATCAAACTAGTTCCAACTTCTAAAATGTGAATATCCTCTGGTTAAGTTTTTTTTATGATAGTAAATTGAATATGTTTGGGTTTCTGGTCGAAACAAGACATCTGACGACGTCACCTTGGGCCCCGTGAAACTGTACTGTACTGTTTTTTCACAATTTCCTGACATTTTACAAACAAAATGGTTTATTCAGAAAACAATCAGCAGATTTATCAATAAAGAAAATGATTGTTAGAGATGCTCCCAGGTAATAAAGTGTTGAGTTTTTTAGAGTTTAGACTACTGACTCAACAGCTCAAAGTTCTCATACTCAGAGGAACTCATGATTACACTGGTAATCTAAAAATAAAAAAAACAAAAAAGCTAATTAACATCATCAATCTGATTATTTCCTCAAAAAAATTACATGTTTGAACTTTCTAAGAGTGGCTTCAGAGAGCTTCCCTCCGCTCCTTTATATCATTCACAGCGACAGCAGAACGATAAAGAGAGAAAGACTACATTCCTCACACTAGGACCTCCACAAGAAAAAAAACAAACTCCACTTTGAAATGAGCTACCATACCAATCTCTTCTCACCTCAGCCCTTTCTCCCTCTTCTTATCCCGTTCCTACATCACCTCCTCCTGTCCTCATCCTCCCCATCCTCCCGGCACCTTGCACTGACTGGCACTGCCATGCACCCAGAGGGGGAAACCCAGCAAGGTGAGAGCACCAAACCCCCGCCAGACCTAAAACGACCTGGGAGCGACAGTCGACTGCGGGGTTTGTCATTACGCCAGAGCGTCTGGGTCTGTGAGGAGCATCCGTTTGACGTTGCCCTAAAATAAGCACACGATGATGCTCTTACCCCAACAACCCCTTTCTAGGAAACAGATGATTAAGAATAGAAAAATGTGACTTCTGTTTCCATTGCATCAACTGGGGATTGAGTTTTAGGACATTCACAAGACATGGTAGCTTTTAAAACACCCAATGCAATGTTTCCTTTAAAACCTGATACAGATATATGAGGAGATTTTTGCTTATCTTGCCCAAAACATTTTCTTTATTATCCCATATTCCATATATTTTTGTAAAACAACGAGAAGAGTGTATCCCTCCGTGCCAATTAAAATAGGAAAGATAAATATTTGTATACTAGCCAGGCGATCAGTTTCAACTGATTTAAAATCCCTTCATGTGTAGAAATGTATCCAAAGTTTTCCTTCTAATAATCAGTACAATTATATATCAATGTCGCGTTACAGAATAAGAGGGGAAATGAGAACAGTTGCTCATTTATATATATAAATCACATTCTGTTTTGGTGCATGAACAATTTGTATGAATTCAATTTGTATATGTCATACAATCAATACAGTATATTTTTATTTCCAAGCTACAATAATATTTTTATACTTTTATTATGGTTAGTACTGAAGCTGGCTGTATGCAGTTAAGGATGTTACGAAGATGAGGCTAAAATATTCTCTAGGCTTGGATTATATTTACCTAACAATTATATCCATTTGCAATTAATCTGCTGATCATTTTCGCATTTGATCAATTATCATTTAGTCTATTAAAAGCTGGAAAAAAGTGAAAGAAAAAGCTCATCATCACTTCGTCTAATGAACAAAACCCAAAGAAATTTAATTAACTGTGATATCAACTGAATAAGCATGATAGAAACACACAAAAAGCAAATCCTCACATTTGAGAAGCTGAAACGAAAGAATATTTACCATTTCTTCTTGCGAAATTACTTATTAATTATTAATCCATTATCAAAAGTTAATAATGATTAATTTTCTGTTCATTAACTAATATTATTTCTGTCTTTTACAAGTCATGCTGTTTGTTGATGCTGTGTCCTCATGTCTGTCTTCATTAGATGCAATTTTCCACATTGTTGACAATAAAGTTCCATCTAACTAGTTTTACTGTTCTAGCTGAATGAAATGGACTGTGGATCCCTGTGCCTGCATGCCATTAGTATTACTTAAGACCATTCCTATCATTTGCATCTTGTGAACGCACCAATAGTCCTCACCAAAACATCATCACATGATCATGGTAGCCTATTTGGTCAACAAATATTTTGATATCTGCTCGTGTCCGTATCACCCAATCCTAATCTTTAGTTTCTCGTCTACATTCTGTAACCAAAACTACCAAACCTGTCTGTAGTGGTTTAGTGATTAAATGTGCTGCATGTGTGTGTGATTAACATCAAGGGTCCAGAACAAAGCAATGGAGAGAAGCCAACACTTACTCTGCGTTGAAGCCATTAACATGCAGTATTCGCATCTGTTTGACTATCGTGCTCTTCCCGGATTCACCGGCCCCTGGAAGCATAAAAGGGACAGAAAAATAAGTCAGACTGTGTTTATCAAAAGTTGTACAAAACTCCTTTAAAAAGGAACCGACCAAAAAATCCAGAATGGATCTGGAACGAGTGGAGGATGCTTTAAAGCTCGCCCTTAGACGCTAAATCCTGGAAGGTATTTGGTGTCTAGGTGGAAGATCAGGCCAGTTGAAGGTGGAAGTGAAAGAGCTACAAACTTGATGCCCAGGATTTTATACATAATTTTTTTTTAAGTGCAGGTCTTTATTTCTCTGCACTGCCTCAATACCTTTGTATTAAGTTAATACTAGCTCCACCTGGACCACTTACAACAGTAAAATGCTTGTGCATCACATACTTTTGCTGATAACACTTCTGTACTCCTTCTTCGGTAGGAAGTTGAATGAAGGGCTTTTACTTGTGATGGTGTATTTCCACACTGTTGTATTGGTACTTTTACTGAAGGATCTGAGTACTTCTTCCACCACTGCCTTCAGATGTGAGGAGGAACTTTAAACATCTGGGGCAAGGACAGGAAGGATCGCTCTAACCAAATCAGCTCAGAATATTGTATATTCAAGTGTTTTTGTTTTCTTTGAACAGAAGTGAGATGCCATTCGGGCACAAATGGACAAAATCTGTTGGGCCCTAATATAAAAATTTAAGAACCAAAAAAATATCTTCATAATTTCGGCATGACAAAATGCATTTCACAAAAGAAAAAGTCCTAAATGTATGGCTTAAAGGCTGGCTATGTAAATGCATAAATCTAGGATCAATTTCTGATTAGAATGAACTAGACTTCCATTCAAGGGAAGCTAGTAATCCTAATTTCCTCTCCGTAGTCCCAAGAGTCTTAGCAGGATAACTGACCCTGGCCTTGAGGTTCAGACTGTATCGTGAGATGGAGGCCTAGAAGATAAAGCCAGAAATAGCTTCATCAAATTAAAAATAGTTATTTTACATTCTATGATTAGAGAATATCCATTTCCAGAGTAGCTGGTATGGAGAGGATTATGCAAAGGTGAGTGTAGAGTCTGAAAAATCACATCACACATGAAGTCCATGGGCCTAAATAACTCAAGTTGAAGGCATCCGAGATCTACACAAAAACACACACACACAGCTTCCCAAATGTTGCCACGTGCTGTCTTGTAGGCCTTGTGTGGAGAAAAGACACAACCATGCAAAAAATGCCTGTTGGTGGCCTCCCAGCCTCTGCATGCTGCCTGCACACAAATGGTGTCTTGTCTGTCCACTGTCTCTCCCATGTTCTGTAATCACGCTCCATAATTAGGAGACAAGCCTGCTTCTCAACTGTCCTGTGTCAAGACACTGCGAACCCCGCAATGTAAGTGACATCATGTCATTGCATCATTGGATGTTTCGCTGTAAAACCGCTTTTTCAAGGGAACAATCTGAAACAACAGCTTTAACATTTGTATAAAGAAGTGAAAATACACTCATATAGTTTTGTGGGTGCAACAATTCAGCACAAAATGGACCTTCAGGCCCTAAACTGAACACAAACACACATACATTAATGATGTGTTTCACAAAACCTACCTAATAGTAGTAGTCGGTGAGTCGCTCGGTATATCTGTTTGTCTTTTTGGAGCTGCTTCTCTATCTTTTTGTTGGCTTCCCTCTGTTGCTTCTCCTCATTTCGCTGGTCTTCGGTCTTACTATTGCCAAGACAGCCCATCTTCCCTAAAACCCAGCGTCAGGTTCAGGGGGGAGGCAGGGTGGTTGATTGGTTGGTTAGTTGGTTGGTTGTAGGGAAGGAGGGGTGCTGATCAGAAGAAAATCCAATCAATCCTAAATTCCTAGACTGGGCTGACAGAGGAACACCTGGCTCAAAATGGGTGACATTTATGTTGCCAGATGTAGATGGAACAGATGTAAACCTGTTAGGTAGTAGATGGCGGACTCCACCAGGCTTTGGCACAGTATGTCTGTGTGTGGATGGACCTATTTACTGGCAATTTATCAACAAGAGATCAGTCAGAAAGGAGCAGAGCACCGATGTCGTCTTCTCAGACGCTTGATTCTTGTGTTTTTCACTGTAAATCCGCAATGAAGTCATCAACATTGACATGAGAGTAGATGAGAAATTTTGCAGCCCTGCAACGTACATGAATGAACATCGGTGGTCCTGTTTCCTTAAAGGTGTAAATCTAAACGCTAGCTTTTGTAGATTTATATAGATTTAAATATAGGTTTAATTTTCTCAGCAAATGTCTCCTTCGGAGCCCATCTTCGGCAGATATCTCACACTGCCATTCAATTCATTTCCACTCACAGCCAAAGCCCTATTTTTCTCGACCCTCTCCCCCCTTTAAATACATATATTTTTACGTTATTGTGTTTAGGGGTTCTTTGCAATCTGTTCTCCAGCTAACCAAAGCACATCTGAGGGCAGGTGAAAAAAAATTAATAATAAATATTTCCTCTTAAAATGACGGCATGTGAATCATCACACTACACCGGGGCTTCTTTCTCTATCAAAACCGTCTTTCAAATCCGTCACATTATGTTGCCCATACACCGATTTTTTTGTATGTGTGTGGCTGGTCGTCGTTGATGTTAGCAACCTTATCAATAATATCCTGTTTTAAGCCGATGTCAAAATGATTTCCTCTCTTCATTAACAGATGCTGGTTCTTGCTGGTTTTCTTTCGGAGGGTTCGACCAGACCCCCCTAAAAAAAGGCCCCTTCTCCGTCCTTTTTCTCTCTGTAACGTTAATTTGTATTTCTCCTCACATCGGAAAGCTTCTCCGCGCGAGCAAAATGCGGGGTTTTTTAGGCAGTTGGATGTCCTTGAGTAATATAGCTCGATATCCAGGTGATATTCGTGGAAACTCCTCCGTTATTTTCCCGTTTGGCGTAGGTACAGCCCGCTGTCAAGTCTCTCAGCTTTTTGTATTCCCTTTGAATCCGTATGGTAGATTGTGGTTACATGTGCATGATACATGAACATACCGCGGTGTTTTCAATCACTGATCCAACGGCGAGACATTTATTTTTACCGCCGACAGGCCGCGTCTGCTCCGATGGACCGGTCGGGGATGTGATGGTCGTTTCTTTGCAGTGTTACTCTGAATTATTTTTGCCCCCTTTTTTCTCTGAGGATTGTACATTGAGATAGATAGCGTTGAAGAGGTGGGGTGGGGCAAACGGCTCTCACGGAACCCTGGGAACGAACAACGGTGGTCAAGCTGCTCCTGACGACAATTACAATTTCCGGTTGTAGCTTTCACAATAAAGCCCCCAGGGAAGCGCCATGCCCAACATAATTTCTGTTGCAAAAACACACAAAAAATATCAAGCTCTCATTAAGTGGTAAGGACTATACATTTTGCTTTTCTATATCTGTAATATCTCATCTAATCTAATCTCATCTGTAATATAGACAAAAGTCAAGGACTTCAGATGTTAGATTCATTTATGTAGGCTACTTTCTGACAGTAGTGGAAGAATTATTCAGGTATTTGTGCAAGTAGCAATACTACAGTATTATAATAGTATGTATAATACATACTGTTACAAGTTAAAGTCCTGCATTCAAACTCTTACTTAAAAAATTGCAAAGGTATTTGCATAAAAATTAAAGTACTAAAAGTAAAAGTGCTCATGATAAAGAGTGGCTCATTTCACACATCTGGAGTGCAATTAGTGATGCATTCATATTTACATAATTTTAATAATAATATATCATACTTTAATATTTTTTGTTTTGTGTTCATAATCTAAAGTTACTAGTAGAAGTTTAAGCTATCAAATAAATGCAATGGAGTAGAAGTAGAATATTGGCCTTCAAAATGTAGTGGAGAAGAAGTAGAAAGTAGCATAAAATGGAAATACTCAAGTAAATATACTTAGTTAAATTCCAGCTCTGTCTGATTCTTTATTATTGTAAAAGTTATACAACAATGTAAAACTAAAGGCCAGCATTCAAAATCCTACTTTGTTTTTTTCCCCAGAGTTTATTAATAGTGCCGGAGAAGTTATTAACATGAAGACACATATGAGATCTGACAAGGCAAGAAAGAACCAACAACAGCGAAAAAAAGGATAGAAATACAGATACACCTAAGAAAACAGGACGTACTTGAGCAAAATTGAACAGGCTACATTTAAATGTCCTCACTGTACTGTGTGCAAGCACATATGTTTATGTGTGTTTGTGTATGGGAGTTGTATGACAAGAGAAGAGATTTCTTAAAGGACAGAAGCATTGTCTGCGAAATACACTTAGAGTATCAAAAGGTGATGGTGTAGTTATCAGAGTTGCATCAATGTATAATCAGCATTTTACTGTTGCATTTTAAAAGGAGAAATGTGGTAGTTTAGTTCAGTGATTCCTCATCTTGGGAATAAATTACCACAGGGAAACCTTTTTTTCTTTTATTTATTTTTTACTTTTCTATAAACTTTCCTTTTTTTTGTGAAATATTGAATCATTTTACCACTTTGAAGTGGTATGCTTTTAGTTTGAAGTTAAGATTAAAGTACTTCCGTTTTTTTCCTTGCTGCCACTTGACGCATCTGGACTGAAGCAGAGTCAGGTCACATGATTGCCCGGAGCGTCATGAAGCAGAGGTACAGAAGGGGAGAGGCGCCCTCTTTGAAGTAAAATGATTATCAATCTGTCCACCCAGAAGGCAATAATTAATAACACTAAAACATATCCATTAATTTATAAATATTAACCTTTCTTATAAGTAAAAACAGTAAATGCAATCACATTCATTTTGTAGCAATAATGATAATGAAAAAAGTGAAGGATACTTTCCTCTTCAGTCAAGTTGTTCCATGCAGAGGTTAGACAGAGTCTTTGTTTTGCAAGTTAGAATAAGTTTCGAGCCTTGGCTATTAAGGCCCATGTCAAGTCCCAAGTCAGGATCAACAAGTCCCAAGGCAAGGCAAGCAAATACAGTATCCTCTTTTAAATATCTTCTTTAAACTAATTTGGCTCTCATGGCTTTTTCTTAACTGATGCTATTTGCTGTAGTTATTTAGATAATTTGATCTTGGTTTATATCTTATGTTTTGGTTCTTATCTACTTATATTAACTGTAAAGCACTTTGCATCTATGTTTTGAAAGGCGCCATATAAATCAAGTTATTATTATTGTTATTGTTAAGTCCTAACATTTGTGTTTAAGGCCCAAACTTCCTAATGTACTCTCTGACATTTTAATGCCAAACAGAGAAACAGTAAGAATAGTAAATGTACATAAAATGATCAGGTGTGCTTTGGGATATTATTTCTGTTGGTTGCAGATCAATAGCATTTGATCAAGTCTGAATCTGGTTTTGAATCCCTTATTTAATCAGTTTGTCTCCATCTTTCAACATCTGTAACAAAAGTTAAAAATAACTAAAGCTCAGATTTGAGATCAGGAGTTTTTGTTGGCTGAGTATGCAGCATGGGGAGGACATTGTGTCATTCCAAGTCCAGGTTGAGTTGCAAGTCTTTTTAGATTTTGTCAAGTGTCTAAAGAAGGCTGTGACTTGAGTCTGACTCAGGTCGAAGTAATGTGTCCATAGTTCTGGGGCCTGCATAGGAATAAGGCAGAACAGTAATAAAAAGAATAAGAAAATAAGGGACATAGACATGTAACAAATTAAGACAAACCAAAATAAAACAGTGTAGACCTTCACAGTCACTAGATCTCTACCCAACTGAATATATGGGGGATTTGGAAGAATTGTGTCATCCAACAGATTTCAGACACTTTAAGCTGTTCTGGAGGCTTGTGGCAGCACAACACTTTATTGAAAGAAATTTTTATTTTAATTTGTCAACCGTCTCTTGATAGACTACAAACCCAAAAAAGGTCAGGAGTTACATTTTGAAGTTGTGACATATCTGACTGTCCTAATAAGGACCTTAACCACCCAAATTGCTGATTCTTACACTTTGGGTTGTATAAGGTAGGATTTTGGAATGACTGGGATTTACCCACATTACTGCAGCCTTTATGTTATCACGCCCTCATGTATGCTTACGTCTTCACAAGCTGTCTTATGCTATGGCTTCAAAAGCCCTGGACTATGTGCAAAATGCCTGCTGTGTCCGGTAAGGACAAACAAATAATGCTACAGTATATCCAAGGAAGGTTAAAATCAAGGGCAAGTGGACTGGTTGAAGATACTTGAAGACATTTCTCATCTGATGTGCTTCTTCAGTAATACTGGTTAACATTTTATAACAACAAATATACTGTCACTGTTGCATGACAAAAACTCCATATTTAGGACATGTGATAACAAACTAAACCATCTCCATGATAACTGAGCAACTAGGTTACTTATTAGCCAAGAAGCCAAAAGATGTGGTTGAAAGCTTCACAGATAACAAACGAGAAGTAATTTGACCTTGATGGTCAAACAAAAATACAACATTGAAGTCATTACATTACATGTGATTCACTCTGTTACCTCCAACAATTTCTTTGGGTGGATGGTGATGTCTCAGCCCCACAATGTATGGCCTTTTGATTTAAATGACTGGAGAGTCTCCATGAACTCCTTTAGACTCAATGGCAAGACTGTCAAATAAGCAGCAGCATTATTTAAATTAATCGATGCAGTTTGGGAAAAATTGAGAATGCAATCCAAATGTCCTGTCAGCTTAACTCACCTGATGGTGATCTGAAATTTTAAATGCCTCCCTGGGGTTTTCCCCTTGTAGCTCTCAGGTGCAGGTATGGAAATGCTGTGCATCACAAATCACATACCTACCGGCACACACCAAGCAGATAAGTAGGCAGACTGGCACATACACAGACACAAACACACACAGACACACAGACACACACACACACACACACACACACACACCTCCCTCACCAAATACGTCAAAAAGCAAGGGAAAGAAGCTCAGTGCAAAACATGCACATCTCGATTCATACTTTAAGCGCGGGTATACCTGTGAACACATGAACCTTCCCATCCAACTCAACCTTTAAACAATATTCTTCACATATTTGGGTTTCCATGATGTCAACAGATTATCTGACAACTTTGTCATGGTAACAGATTTCAGCAAGAAAGATCACTAAGTAGTGCAGAGGGAGTGGAGGGTGAAGCCCCTGGACATGTTGCCATTCTATCACATGGAAAACACAAAGAGAGAAACGCCTTCACATATAAAGGGCAATTTATGTGTGATCAACCTGAACAATGTAACTCGTGAGAGGAAACCTGTGCAAACATTGGGAGACCACGCAAATCCAGGACCTTTGTTCTGTGAAGGAACAGTGACAATCATTCAGTTATTGTGCCATGCGTATCCTGTGGTAAACATCTACACTTTAACAAAAGCTGCTGCGATAGGCTTTTTTTTGTTAAAGCAGATATTTTGACTTGTTATAGTAGGAAAAGAACAAGTGTTACTAATAACTGGCTCTGTTATGTTCAAGTGTTATGCCTTAAATAGCCCTCTAGATGGTAGCATCTCTCATACATGATCTCCACCTGCTTCACATTTCACTCCATTAGTATTACACCAACACTGACTTAGAAGCTGAAAATGGAAAACTGTTTATTTTGTAACATCAGTGTTCTTCAGGAAAGGAAAATAGGAATGCGTTATCAAAGTCAAGTAGTAAAAAGCCAGCAAATTGTCACATTACAATCTTTTAAACAAATCTTTCTGCAATTTTATCATTTAGAACTACACTCACCTAAAGGATTATTAGGAACACCTGTTCTATTTCTCATTAATGCAATTATCTAATTAACCAATCACATGGCAGTTGCTTCAATGCATTTAGGGGTGTGGTCCTGGTCAAGACAATCTCCTGAACTCCAAACTGAATGTCAGAATGGGAAAGAAAGGTGATTTAAGCAATTTTGAGCGTGGCATGGTTGTTGGTGCCAGACGGGCCGGTCTGAGTATTTCACAATCTGCTCAGTTACTGGGATTTTTACGTGCAACCATTTCTAGGGTTTACAAAGAACGGTGTGAAAAGGGAAAAACATCCAGTATGCGGCAGTCCTGTGGGCGAAAATGCCTTGTTGATGCTAGAGGTCAGAGGAGAATGGGCCGACTGATTCAAGCTGATAGAAGAGCAACTTTGACTGAAATAACCACTCGTTACAACCGAGGCAAAGCATTTGTGAAGCCACAACATGCACAACCTTGAGACAGATGGGCTACAACAGCAGAAGACCCCACCGGGTACCACTCA